TAACATATTTTATAAAAGTTACAATGTTAAATGCAAGATTATAATATTGATGTTATATTAATTTTAATTATTGTCGACTGAATTGTTATTATGCGTCAGTCATCCGGACATAAAATTAATTGCTGTAATATAGTAAAATTACGATTGAAATAGGAATTTCTTTAGCGATAGATTAAAGAACATTCATCGCGAGAAAATAGTTTATAATGAAAAACGTGAAAATTTGTATAAAATTAGTAATAATTAATAGACTATAAAATATCGAAAGCGTGTGCTCATACTTAAACACTAGCTTGAAAGGAAAAAACATGAATACCGTTATCGCAATGTCAAGAAGTAATTTATACGACAGAAGGGAATAAGAGAGTCACACTTATGATGCAAAACTGGCAAAATGATATGCACTAAATTAAGGACTTGATAATTATATAAATTAGAAAATGTAGATAAGAAAATGTGCAAAGTCTAATTTGAATAATAGATAATAATTGTACGTTTAAATAGATCTATCATTTTGCACACGTTTACTTGACAGCAAAAAATATATCGTTGAAAAACTAAATAGATATTATTAAAGGATTATACTTTAAATAAAGTTTCTTATTCGGCACAAAACAGTAACAAATCGTGACAAAACTGACTTCAAATTTGCATTGTTATTCTAAACGTTTGATTTTACGTAATTTTAGGTTTATTGCATTTAAAATAAGTTATTGAATAAATTTTTCTATTACTTTTGAATTTTTTTATATTTGAATTTTTATTCCTTTCTGTAATAATTTATTTGTGTTACACTTTTGGTTATTTTTTATTTATGTCATAGTGGAGCACATGAAATTTATATTTGGATTCCTTTTATCGAAATGTGTGCAGTCGTAAAAAAGAATAGATATTAGAAAAAGTTAATACTTTTTTTAACGTTTTTTATAACTTAATATTGCTAAATATATTATTTTATGTGCACACTCGCACTTTTATGACTACTTCAGGCTTCAATTTGTCCATTATTTTTTGTTATTACCATACTCACATCGTAAAACTTTTTTCTTCAATTTGACTCATATAAATCATTTCCAATAATAAATACAGCAGACTTACGCGCATACAGTGCATGTTGCTCGTTCATTGTCAATTCCATTGTTTCCGAGAAACAGCTGCACTCCATAAACATACCTCACTGTTCAGCTTTCAGATGCAGCAGCGTTTTGTAACGTCAATATGAGGATTCTTCTTACAATCTGTAGAATTAAAATACCAGATACGTCACAATCCCGCATATAATTATAGGAAAAGAACTAAGATAAGAAGAGAGAACATCAGGTAACAATATTAATTAAGCTGACATCTTTTGACGTCAAAATGACGACAAATAACACGTCAGCCTTACCTGATAAGTTATACAGTCCTCAGTTATACGTTTATATTACATTAATAATAAATATGATAAAATAATATTAAATATTCCCACGCTCTGATTATACAGAATTCTCTAAATGTAAAATTTAGTGTCGCGGTTGCTTTTGTGCTGTATTCCTTCATTTACGCGATCACGAAAGATTATCGAAGCAAGCTTGAGGATCCAAATATTAAAAAAATGCATACCTCGTATCTATATCGTATAGATTTGTTTATCAATGCTAAATTCAGCCTTTCTGGCCTTCCTGCTGATGATATCGTGCAATTATAGCTTTACATTCAAGACAATAAACCTAGTTCCGACGTGAATAAATTCGACGCAATTGGCTTGACCGCGGCCATGCTCGACATCGGGTAACTTTTAAATTTATTAGAAGCACTAATCGTGCTTCAGACAGATACGCGCATGCGCAATACTAATTAACACGTTATTGCGCTGCATTTTCATTGCAACCCTGATAATTACAACTAAAGTCCCGTATATAAAAGAGACCCGACATCGAAATCGCATCACAGATTGGAGCAGACTAGAGTCCTAGATTTATCAGAGAGGCGCAACCGGTTTAAGTCAGTATGACAAAGGTGTTAAGGAGAGTACTAAACATGGCCGACATGCTAGGAAACTGCCTTTAAACTATGTCAAACAAGATAAGACGTGTAGAATAATGTGAGATAGAATGTATAGGATAAAATGAAATAGAAATATGTCACTAGTACTAGTACTATAAATGGCTGCCAAGTCACGCAATTGGTCAGATTGCAACAGCGAATCAGAATGCGTAACACCGGTTGCGCCTCTATGACCTCTGTTAAGGCCCGTCTACAATACACGGAGTAAGAAGTAAGAGTAAGAAATTGACCAATCACAGTCGATTATTCTTCTCACATTCGACTGTGATTG